ATAAGAGTTGCTCCTTGTTCCTCTCTTACCTTCCTCTCACCATTACTGTGAAAGGAATGCAACCTATTAGCAAAAGATGCCCATCCCTGCCCTTTCTTCCCCTCTGGCACACATATCAGTTGTTTCTTTCTTAAGGTTTCTTTTGAGAGAGAAAGTTGCAAGGGTAAAAATGTCTCTAATAAAAAGACATAATTGCTACTCTTTCTCTCTTATTCATAAGATATCAAAACTATAGGGATTTTAGGCTTAGGAGTCCATACTAAATTATTGCTGGAGCACACCCAAATATACTTGCAGAAATTTGAGTGTTTTTTAACCCTTCCCGGGGAGGCTTTGCAAGAATTGACAAAATTTTTTGGTAGCTAATTAGTTATGGATATGTTGACCATCTGGGAGAAATAGGAAGATAAGGAGTCTTTGCAAGCTTGATTTAGAAAAGGTATATGGCGCTATAAATTATGGATGAAGATTGCAATCATTTGTTGATTCACTGCTCAGTGGGTTCTGCTATCTGGAGACATTTCCTGTCAGGCCTGGAGCTCCATTGGTGTATGCCAATCTCTGTATTAGACAGTGATTTGAAAGGCGCGCCTAGGCGCACAGGTGAGGCGCATTTTGGGGTATGCGCCTTGCCCTGGTCCTAGGCGCACCTCTTTCAAAAGGCGCGTGCCTGATGCGCCTTGCGCCTCAGCCCAGGTGTGTGCCTTTTTAAAATTTTGCGCTTTTTGCTGTTTTTTGAGTCTAACGGCTGGGTTCATTCATTCATTCATTGCAATAAAACATCTTCTTAAAAGGCAATGAAAGTTGTGAAATCATTATTTTTTATGTGAGAAATAAGAATTTCAGACCCTAACATAGACTTGTTCGGGCTTGCCTCGAGGGGCGTGCTACAAAGGTGACTCATAGAATCAAGAACGCAATATGTTATACATCACATTAACTACTTGAAGCAATGCAATTAAGGAAAAAAAGAGATTGTGGGTTTTACATGCTTGAAAATGCTTTATATTTTTGCTTTTATTTTTAAATTTTCATTTGAATACACTTTACATGTTATGTTTATGTATTTTAATTTTGGATAATAGGTTTTTTAAATCATTTATTTTAAAATTTAAGTTTATATTTTTATTAACATTATGTTTAATATTTTTTGGAATTTTCTGACTTTTTTTTTGATTTTTTAGCTTTCTTTTTTGTAGTTTTGTGCCTTTCTTAAAAAGGCGCGTGCCTCGCCTTGTGCCTCAGGCGCAAATTGGCCCTTGCGCTTTTTTTGCGCCTTGCGCTTTGAAAACACTGGTATTAGAGCAGCTGTGAAGCTGGGAAGTTCAGGGTTTATCCAAGCTGGCTAGGTGTACCTGGAAAGTCATTCCTGGAACCATTTTCTACACAATCTTGTCTGAAAGGAATAGGAGGATCTTCCAAAACAAAGCTAATGATTTGGATTGCCTGATCTCCTTTGCTTTTGGCCGAGTCATCTCCTGGGTTGCAGCAGCCAAGGGTCTTCAGAACTCAGTTTTTAGCTCTCAATTGAGATCTAGGAATCTGTTTGAGTTATGATGTATTGCAGTGTTCCCTAGTGTGTTCGGCTCCTTGACTTTGGGGCTGCTGTTGTAATTTGTAGTTCTTTTAGTAAGCTTTTACATTACCTTTTCTCAAAAAAAAAAAAAAGGATTCTTGGGTTACACTATAAAGAGATTTTTTTTTTCCTGCACAATGGTAGCAATGATGCCTTAGTTTATGTACTTTGTCACCCATCTGTGTCATCATAAATTGTCTGGTGAAAGATTCTTTCAAGCCACAAAAGGCCTTAGAAAGGTGGTTCTTTCTTCCTTCCATTTCCTAATTGGTGGGGAATGTTGGAAGTAGACTAGTAAGCAAATAACTTCTTCAGTTTGCTTATAGCAACATCCTTTATGTTTTTACGGTCAAAATTTCTTGATTCAAATTCTTAATAGTGTTGTTACATACTTTTAGTGGTTTTAGTAAGTATGCTTTCATAAAAAGAAGCTAAGTGCAATTAACCTAGTTGAGGGTTATACAGTTTGCTAGTATCATGGGAATAACTAAACTATGGATCAGGAGAGGGTGACAAATTGGGACAGAAGTGTAGTAGGAGTATCAAATCTGAAAGCTACTAAATATACCGGTTTCCGAGTCTATGATCTCTGTTTTAATATTCAGAGCATCTATGAGAAATTGAGCACCGCTATGTGTATAAAAAGGTCATTACCTAATGCTGGTCCCTGGTATCTAGGGTCTTGGGACAGGTAGACTGGATATGAGCCTAACCATCAGCATTGTTTAGCACAAAGTGGTCAGCCTCAGACTTTGAGTAGGTTAGGGCCTTGGCATTGGATTCGGAAATTGTAAGGAAACTTGGGATCAGCGCATGAGATTGGCTGAAGAGGAAGCAGATTTGAATTCAGAGAAGGCATTTCCAAGCATGAGACAAGGTTTGTAAGTGCAAAACTGCAAATGAAGCAGTAAACTCAACAACAATTGAAGTGAAAGAGTTTTCGTTGAGAGTGAAAATGTAACTAGGGAAAAGAATTTTGAGAAAAATAAGCATATAGTTGAGGGTGGGGTTTCTGTTGCTTCAGGAGAGTTTATTGAAATAGTCGAAGGGAAGTTGGGCAAAGATTTTGGGTGGACAAAGACCTGAAGTGAGCAGAGGTGGACTACTGAATAAGATAAAGCCAAAAATAAACTTTCTTTGTACACAAAAAATGAAAAGTTTCATACACTGAACAGCAGGTACATGTGACAAAGGTTTATGGATGAGTTTTACCAAGGAGGCTCAAGGTCTTTTGGTGATGGGGGTGGTTGATTCTTCTGAAATACAAGCAGTGGACATTTTGTCAGATCATGGGAAAGAAGATTTGGAAAAGAATGAATCGGATAAGGAAGAAGAAGGACCAGAGATGCAAGAGAACCATGTTTTCAGTATTGATAAGTTTTATTTTTTATTTACTATAAAAAAAAGTGGTCAGTCTCAGACTTGAACTGTACTTTAACACTTGACAGCTCTAGATTTTTCCATTGCACCAAGCAATCATTTTTGTTTTGTTACTTTATACAAAAATGTCAACTCCTTCATTCCACCAGCTACCATCCTTGGACTGACAGCCAGATTGAGGTAATAAATAGGTGTTTGGAGATGTACCTAAGATGCTTCCATGGGGTGTGACATCCTTTAAGGCACTCAGCTCTATGGGTGTGATTCCCCATATGAGAAAGGCTCAACTATAGTGGCTGAAGTGGAGGAGCTCACTGAGAGGGATGACATGACATCATACAATCACTCAAGAATCAGCTGCTGAGAGCACAACAGATTTTGAAGGCTCAATATGATAAGAGTCATCGTGACGTTGAGTATCAAGTCAGGGGTTATGTTTATGTAAAGCTTCAGCCCTATTGTCAGTCTACAGTTGCAAGATGAGCCTGGTAGAAAAGTTTCACCTTGCTTCTTTGGCCCTTTCATGGTAGTAGAGAGGGTAGGAATGGCACTCAAATGTGAAGCACAAGGCTTTGGTGAAATCTGGCCAAGTAAGGTGTGGATGAGATCTGTGGTACCATTGGTACCAGAATATTGCCTTCTTCCAGATTGATGGCCAGGTATGCTGTATTCAAAATATCTTTCTGCTCTGAAAATCCACGAGATTGGGTCATCACCTGAAAATGTTGGGAAATCCAACTTAACTGATTGGAAACTGCAAGTCCCTGCGATCAGAAGCCGCTGGAAGAAGATCCTTCATTCTTACTGCAGCAATTTCCTGATGTAGAGAACTTCTCACATTGTGACAGTAATGCTGATAAGGTCTCCTTAATATCTTTGAGATCACCAACCAACTTGTGCATCTCCACCTCTATTTTGTCTACTTTTTCCTCCATGGTAGCCGATCTGGTTACTGTCATTCTCCAATTGCAGCTAAGATACTAATTTGGTAGGATACTACCTATCGTATGGGCTATTCAAGGCAACCCAACCTCCTAAAACAAAGAACAGAGAGAGGGAGAGAAGAGAGAAAAATGGGTAAGGGACTAACTGCCTTACCTCTCAGTGGCTTCCACTATTTATACTTATTTACATTCATAATGTTATCATGTTTTACATATTGCTGGGCTTCTACTTCATTTTATGTGATTTCCTAATGTAAATATATTTGATTGGTGGGCTTGGGCCTTTGCTAACATGAGCTGCTCCTTTGTCTTGAGTCTTAGGCTGCTGTTGACTTGGAACTGGGTTCTTGATTTGAGTTTGAGTCTGGGCCTGGGCCTGGGCCTGGGCCTGGGCATGGGGCCTATCAAAGTGGCAATTAATCGTGCCCTGATTCCTCAAGGACAATCTAATTTTGTTGTGAGATTGTTGATTCTCCATATTGTCGCCTTATAAGAAAATAGTTCATTTAGTATAATGCTTGATTCTCCTGATAAGTTTGTATTGTAATTTTTCCTTTAGGCTGCATTTGTTTCTGTGTAAGTGGATATAAAATTTTCTAGTCTGAATTATGTCAACTATTATTTCTGCCCTTTTTATAGTGAAAACTTAGTTTGTACTACAATTTAATGTTAGCTCATCAAAGCATAGCAACAAGGTGCACCTGGATTCAAGTGATGCACACTTCACAGAATTAGTCTCATTATAAGCTATGGCATGCCTTTTGAGGCGCTGCATGTGTATTTGACAAATAGTTGCTTTTACCAATGCATTTAAAGACACATATATATTATATATGCATATGGCAAGTATTACTTTTAATTGTAGTTATGATGTATTGTAGGTGGTTTAGTGTGTTTGGCTCGTCTTGGGGGCTTTGGTTGTAATCTGGTGCTCCATGAATAAAATTTTACCTTACTTTTCTCAAAAAAAAGTATTACTTTTAGTTGCTTGTGCATTTGACAAGTCAGAAATGTTGAGTTGGAGAAGTAGTTGCTTTCAATGATACTCTCTTTTCAACTTTTCTTTTTTCAAGCGACTTATTAATTCCAAAATCTTATAGGAATTACAAAAGCATGGGAACCCTGATATTGTCATGGCTTTGGTAGGCAACAAAGCTGATCTTCATGAGAACCGTAAAGTACCCGTTCAAGTATGTTTGTTTGTGTCAGATTTATGCACCAGCTTTTTTCTATATTTTTCATGAAATGTGAATTATTAAATCAAATTTAATTTGCTATATTTCATGAGCTTCTATTAAAGAGAGTGGTATAATTCAATTGTTTATATTTTGTTTGTGAAGGATGGTGTGGACTATGCAGAGAAGAATGGGATGTTCTTTATTGAGACATCTGCAAAGACAGCAGATAATATTAATGAGCTGTTTGAGGTATGTGCCTGGTCTTTCTTTTCTTATTGTAACAGCAATTAAGGCTTGAATTCTTTGAATTCTTAAATTTGACACAAGTGAAAATGACAACTTTCATATGGAAATCTAAACTCAACTGCCTCTTCATATGTAAATACCAATGCTTTGAAAACTGGACGGAGGTCAAATGAGAAGGCCAGCCAAATGGCATTTCATGGTTGAATCAGTCTGAATATTAATCCATCCCAAAACCATTGACTGGTGACACTGCTGATCTCTGGTTTTAATGATTCAATTTTCTAAACATTTGTAAATACTTTAAGCAACATATCCAGAGTTGCCAACTCTCAGAGCCATGACGGTTCTGTTTCTTTTGGATGTGGCAGTTGGTGTAGAAAAATTCAATGATTATACCATAAATAGGATTTACATCTACCATGCTCCAGTAAATGTTTAGCTTCAATTTTCAATTTTCTCTTAACAGAAATGACCTCCTTTTGTTGTAATTTGTCATTTTCTAAAGCCCTTTTTTTGTGTGGATACAGCAGTGGTTACAAATTTGGCATGATTAATATCTTTATTGTGAATTCTCCTTGCTAGTTGCCTTTCATATGAAAATTTTCATTTCACGTGCAATGTGGAATTTGATGTTTTCTTCCTTGGCAGGAAATTGCTAAACGTTTGCCCCAAGTTTCCTCTTCATGATTGCAGATGGAATATCAATTGTACTACAGAAGTACAGAGTACAGAACTTATATGTCCTACAACTTAATTGTAATATAGAATTTGTTTATAGTGTTTATCACCCTGTGATCTTTGTTCTATATTATGCTGGGGGTTTTCTGTTGGATTTGACCATTAGATAAAGATGTTAGATGTGCATTATACTAAACAAGGGACTGTATGTAAGCATAGGTTATTTGTGATGTCTAATGCAGAATACAGAGAAAAAGAAACCAGTCCTTGCAAAGTTCCCCAATTTTCTTGTCATTGAGCAATGATTTTGGGGCAATGTAAGTCTTGCCCAATATGGTTCAGTGAATATTGGCGATGACCCAGTAGTTCAGTTGGTCACTTATTTCTTATCCCTCCGTTTGAAAGGTGCGCCGAAGGACGGGGCTCTCTGCATTATGATTTCACTGATTTGTGAATGCCGGTGGGGGTACATGCATACATCCCTGCCACTACCGATCCACATTCACTAATCCCGCGCCCCTATGGGGCCAAAGCCGCATCACCTCTGTTTTTCATCAATGGATGATCCAAAAAAAAGGTTCCGTTTCCACCTCTGTTTTTCATAAAAAATATTTTTTATTTATATCAAAGTTTTAGAAACCGACTGGAAATGATGTTTGGACCGTCTGGTTCGAATGGATGGCCTATTTTAATTAAAAAAATAAAAATAATTAAAATAAAAAATGACCAAAACCCATTGAATGGATTAACTGTATCGATGGTTTGACTGTTCGGGTCAATTGTTGAATGATTCACTGGGTTGAATGGCCAAAACCATTCAACGATTTTTGGCGAAACAGAATCAGTTGCAAACCAAATGGTTCTATCATCTGGGTCAACCGTGGTTCGAGAATTCTGATTTATATTAGTGACTAGTGAGTGAGTTGATAGGTTGGCACTGTAATGAATAATGAGTTGCACCACCGAACCGACACGACTGAGGTTACGTGAAGTAAAACTGTAAATACTAAATAGTACTGTACGATTGTACAGACATGTTACATCATCAAACTGAAAAATGCCACCTGTGCCATTAATCTCATGGGTTCTCTACTTTTTTTATTTTTTTGTCAGTAATTTTCTCCCAACTTCCAGACAAAAAGACTCCTACGCTCTTTGTTTTAATTCAGGGAAAGATAAAACAGGTAGGGTCAGGGTTGTAACCAATGAAAGCAAATTCCTTGGATTATCACTTTGCATAAATGCAACCATTTCTTAATCAGAGCATACAAAAGCTAAGTTTTACTTGCTTTGTATGAGACTATGAGTATGACTCATCATGCTGTATGAGGATTGCTCTCTTAACTTGTTATATATACGCAATAAGTTGCAGTTTTGTGTGATAACTTGCAACAGAAATCTGTGAATTAATGGTGAATTTGAGTCATGAGCTTGGGAGTTGATTCATAGAGAAACAGATAAAACATAATACGGTACAATAACTGTGAGTCACTTTGGACAGTCTCTTTATAATTTTGCTCAGAGTGGAGGGTCAGTAGGCAAATCTTTAAGCAACCCATTTGTCGATATCCTTGCACATTGACACTCTTATATAGCATTTTACTTTCTCTAAAACAAGGATGAAATGCATTAATCGGTGGCAACAAGAAGATAGCTCAGAGAAGGATGAAGAAGAAGAAGTTGCAGGTACTGTATTTTCTCTCTTCCTCCCGGGTCTAAATTAATTCATTGAAATGAGCAAGCTAGCATTTACCCCAATGCTCGACTCGGTCTGTCTACATTTAAAATTTTAGATGTTTATGTAGTGGTCACTTTTGATGCTTTCAAATTTAGGGTTTGAGTCCTTTGAATTTGACTATCTAGATGAACCCTGAAAAATGGATGGCCTGGATCGAACACTTATATATGGAAGGATAATTTGCTCAAGAGCATAGTGTCTGTAAGACAGGATATACTTTGGATTAGCCACTTCAATTGTTCCGTTTTCCCAATCTCCCACTAGACAGTAGACACTTCACCTTGCAATGCCAATCCTTGGATCTTCAAATCATTTAATTTGAGAGCAGTGGTAGTGTGACAATGAACATCGTAAGATGTAAGAAATTTCATCCCCTAATGAGTTGCTATATCATTCATACAAACAATCAGAAGGAGTTTCGGAGTTCATTCAGAGTCCTGGGTGGGACCCACCAATTATATTAAGATAAAAATGATAAATACAAGAAAGGAGCAAAATCAATAAATTTATTGCCCTAATCTTTTAAGTTTTAATTATACACTTGTGGTTTAGAGCATTTGATGGGGGTTTATAACAAACAGAAAAGAAAAGAAAACAAAGCACTACAGGGATCTGGACTAATAGGAATGTCACCTTCTCCTACCCTATCACAAGTCCTTTTCATTTTCCATGCATGCGCTTTTTACAATGTATCCATAGATACATGGCCATGAAGTATAGCTCATATCTCTTGTTTGTATCATGAAAAGAGCTTAGAGCTTCTTCTTTCTCCATCTCCATCTCCATCTCCATCTCCATGGAGAGAGAGAGAGAGAGCATCAATGTTTTCTTTTCCGTTTGGTTGCTGAGAAAGGGGTGGATGAAAAACGAATATATATATATTTTTTTCTCAGTTTTGCATCCAGTGTTTGTTTTTCAAGAAAGAGTATACTCAAAATTCGTCATCCTGTGTTTGTTTTCTGAGAAAATTTAATTAGAAACTTGTTATCACAAGCTCGGTAAAATCCAATTTTAGTCGGTAAAAATTGGCAGAAAAAAAGGGGCTAAAATCAAGTTTAACTGATGGAAGCCAAATTTAACGGTTGATGCTAACAAAAATTACAGATCTGGAGTACTGACGCTAAATTGAAAGCATATGTCTATCGATATAGAACAATGATGCGTTGAACACTAGATCAGCCACTTGCCGACGACGGAAAAATGATTTGGACGACTAGGGATGGAGGGGCAAGATAGTGGGATTTGAAGGGAGAACAAATCAATGAAAGAATACAAAAATGGTGCAAAAACGAATAGAAATCATGAGAGAATGCTAGATCTATGCTTACCATCGCAAGAAATCGCCGGAGAACTGACCGTTGGATGGGGTGTAAGTAGGAGTGGTGTTCTCTAAAAGCCTCGATAAAATTTTCTCACAAACTACACTCGGTTTTCTTTTCTCGGCGGGGTCTCACTGTTTTGGTGTGACCCCGTATACTCGCTTTTGGGGTCCTAGCTTATCCCATTTCTTTTGTTTCCAATCTTAACGTTTCTTTCAAAACAAACAATATTCGGTGAAGATGCTTCCCTTCTCGTCACTTTCTCGCAAACCAAACGTATTATTAGGTGGGGGTGGTGGAATGGACCCCTGGCCTCCTGCTCCTTCCCTGTCAAATTGTAACAAGTTGCAGCTGCATGCTTTATTTATAAGGATAAGGATAATTTACACAAAATCCAGTGTTTTTTTTTTTGGTACAAACAAATAAAATAAACTCGTTAAATGATGCATGATGCATCAATAAAGCAAGACAGTGGGGGAAATCTCGTTTGAGTATAGCCACAAGCTAGCCCATAGATAGAGGCTGATACAGACCAATACTACTCACCAACACTCTATATATGTCTTAGTTGCATCAAACCATCTAATCGGTCAATGAACCCCAAGAGGGTATTATATATATTGTTTTCTACATGACATCTCATGGACAAAAAGCCAATTTTGAGATGAATTAAGAACTAACGCATCTTACGTGGATTTGTGTTAGAAATTAGAACCAACCAACATATCTCCCAATCTCCAACCGTAGGGATGTCTGTCCTTCATTCATAGAGCATCACAAAAGTCTTTCAAACTACAGATGTATGTCTCCATAAATTATTAATACCAAAATCTTCCCATCTTTTAAGATATATATATTTTTTTTTGGTGCAGCAAAAGCATGGAATTGGGCTCACCATATTGCTTAATTATACAGCAAAGAAATCAATGTCTACCAAATTAAAGAGAAGACGAAGATGTGAAACTATGGATCAAATCCGTATCCTTGTTTGAATATTGCTGGTATCCGTATGACCACAGCTATACCTAAAAAGGATTTGACGACGAATGCATGCACCTCTCCAAGTCCAAGGGTTCATTTATATAGAATTATAGATAGATATCTTCAGCTTCTTATCCCATTGACCAGAAGGTATATATATATATGAAATTTCCTTTACCCAACACTGAGACCCCCCCGCCATCAGTGGTCCTTTTCCAACTCTTAAGGAAAGCATTACCATCCTTGGTTTTCTGTGAGCTCATTACAAAAACCAGGGATGGTGTTTTCAATTTTGACCTATCTTTCTGATTAATGTATTACCTCAGTTATTAATTGTCTACTGCAACAATTAATTAACAGACAATTTATTAATTTAAGAACATGTTGGTTTCAGAAAAAGAAAATGGGTCGTCGTAGTACCAAGCTAGAGATCATTTGAGGATTCGTACGTGAACCCTCTATACCCCAGATAGTTGGGATAAGACTTTTTTGAGTTACACTCGGAGATTATTCTTTATTATTATTACTATTATTATTTTTTTCCTGAGAAAAAGAAACAACAACATTTCTGGTCCATATTGCTTGACAAATCAGTACTAAACCAGATCAAAATTAACAACCATTTTATGTTTTTATTTTTACTCAGTTAATTCTAATAATTTTCAATCCCACCGGTTTAATTCAAACTATATACATTGATCTCTTGCAGTACTGCTTATCTCTGCTAGCCTTGATTATTCAGGAAATTAAAATTTCCAATTTCATCATTTATTTCTTGTTTTGTGAGTGATCAGACATAGATGCAGTTATTCAAAGCAATTAAATAAGGCGCAGATATAGGAAATTAATTTACTGCAAGTATCAAAATTTCATCCATTTGAATTCTTATATATTTCTGTTCATGCATGCTTATTAATATAGAGGGAGCTGGGATGTAGCTAGAATGGGAGTTGGCTCTCTGAAAAGTGAAAAGGGACATATCACGTTATGACAAACTGGCAACGCATAGTACGTAAGTAGAAGGGGGGGGGGAGGGGGTCAGTCACAGCCTCACAGGAGAAGGACTATCACCAGTCACCACTTGCATTAGCTAGCTGATCAACTCTTCTTCCTCTCCGTGCATCTATTTAAGTAGTAGTCCTTCACAATTGTTTTCTTCATGCATGGTACACAGGCCCAATATTGAATATTGAGCGAACTAGCATATTATTAATTCTTATCTGCTTAGGCTGAAGCACGCAGTACTAAGGAATAGAATGAGGGCTAGAGAGACCAAACCCAGCATTCTTAGGCTGAAGCACGCAGTAAGGAAGCTGCAGAGAGGTGTCCTCTCATCCCTGCTATCAAGAGGAGACAGCAGGATTGGAGATGTGAAGGAGGGTCATTTTGCAGTGCTCACAACAGGCGATGGGGAGCCAAGGAAGTTCTTTGTTGCATTGAGTTTTCTTGCTAATCCTGAGTTTGTGAAGCTGCTTGAAGAAGCCGAACGGGAGTTTGGGTTTGATCAGCAGGGTGTTCTCACTGTACCTTGTCAACCAAGTGAGCTCCTCAGGATCTTGTCGATGAGACGTTTTCGTGATGCATGATTTTAATTAGACCACCCTAATTATTGATATATAATTCTGTTTTTCTTGCTAAGATCGATGTAATAAGAAATCACCGATGAGTAACCATTGCATCGATCATAGCCTTTAGCAAATATATCTATAGGGATATATAACCTTTACTTAATTAATTTACTTGGTTTATTTTGATATATATCAGATGTAATTAAGAATTAAAGGAGAACATTTCTTTCTTTCTTTCTTTCTTTTTTTTATGAACCCAGAAAGTTTATTTGCTGGAAGGATTTCTATTACTGCTAAGTGCTAATATAATCCCATTGAATTTGCACATCTGGGCTAGCTGTGGCTGCATGAACTTCACTAAATCCTGTACTTGTTTCTTCTCTTTTCTTTCCTAATAACCAAAAAAAAAAAAGAACTTATCGACTAATTAATGCATTACTAATTTACTAATTTTCCTAAAATTAATGCAGATTGTTTTCCAATCTGCCATTGCTGTAGCAACGTCCAAACAAGTGGCTAAATATTGCACCGGGTAATATTTCCAATTCTCCACTGCTATCATAATCCGGAGGCTATATCTTATCAAATATCAATAAGCTAAGAGCAGACCAAACAGCCCAGAATCTTGGCTAGCTCGGTAGCTAATTAATGGAGAATGTTTTCAATTGGGTAATTGTGAAAGTATAGATGCATGGCATATTAATTGCTATGGCGCCGGCATCAATGTCCCATGTTCAATATATATATTATATAGGACTGGGTGTATTGGTTATAGGAATTGAACCATCTAAAAACAGCAGCAGCAGAAGAAGAATCATGGGCAACCCAAGTCTGATTATCATCATAATATTAATCTCATTTTCTTTCAAATTACCAAACACATCATAACATGCATTTTTGTGAAATTCCTTAAGAAAACCTTCTCTCAACTTTCTATTTCTTTCTTATTTTGTACATCAAACCAAAATGAAACAAAAAATATAATCGATCCCTGTTTAATGGGATAACTCATCAAATATTACAGATTTCCTCCAGTCAGATTTCGAATGAACTCCGGAAGGTGGAAGTAAAGAAAACCCAATTGGGGCCATTAATGCATGAACCACCTTATACAGGCGGTCTAATTAAGCCAAACAATCTGAAAAATATCATTTGTTCGCCAAAAAGATGTCTGCAATCAACGATGATTGGTCCTATCTCTATCTGCCATGAAATGGACTTCTCAAGGAGATGTTTTGTCCAATATATATAATGCCTCAGGAGGTCGGGCCCGGATGTAGTAGGCACCCTTAGGTAAGTACAATGAGTGAGCATAGCTGTGGGATTAATGTGCCTTTAATCCAAATGTTTTTTTTCTGTTAGAAATTATTCATCATTTTATTATCTTTGTTAAAATATTTAAAAAAAAAACAATGAAAATTATTCATCATTTCATCATTCAACTAGGTTTTCCTTTTTCATTGTTTTAATTTTTAATTATTTTGACAAAAATAATAAAATAATGAATAATTTCTGTCTAACAAAACAAAAATGTTTGGATGAAAGTCACATTAACTGGTACATGTGTCATATAACTATTATGTGCTCATTCATTATGTTAACCTAATGTGTCTATTACATCCGATTTGAAGCCTGTTCACCCAGGTGGCAATGGAGCAATATAACTATTGCACCAAGACCCACTCTCTCTCTCTCTCTCACACACACACACACATATATATATATATTATTAATTATATATAATATATGTATTTTTACTTTAGTTTCACTTTTTATATTAAAAATTAAAATTTGAGATAAAAAAATATATTTTTTAACAGCAAAGAAGAAAAGAGTGATTCTAATAGTATTTCAGTTTCAATTTTTAAAAAACTGACCGGTTTTTTCTGTTACTTACTATTTACAAATGCAACCCACTTACAAATGTACGATTGTCTATACTTAGAAGGCCATAGTTGAATTAACACTTTTTTTGATAATTTATTATTATATGTAATTTTGAATTGATTTATCTTCTATACTTCTGCCATGCGTGTGGGTTGGTCTTGTGTTTGATCTAGACTGTTCTTCGTATATAGGACTGGTACAAGATTGGCCATAATGTTCAATCCCCTAGTTCATGTCATCCATTTGCCCCACCTTGTATTATTGGTAGCTTTCACAAATCAATATTAACCATTCAAAGTTTCTAACTTTTTTTTTTTTTTTTTAACGAGAAACTTACTTCTGTAACCAAGGTTGCAGGAATCATCAATAACCACCAATCACAAATCATACAATCATGTAAGAGTTACCTATAAATTAAATACAGGGAGTAAATGCATGGTTCAGTTTGATTACATTAGGATATATAAAATAGTATAATAACAATAAACGTGTATTGTCAATTAGGCAAGCCTAACATCAAACTCCAAGCTCAAGTACGTAGTTACAGGACAAGCCAATGACTGAGGGTTAGGGTTGAATGAGTTTCAAACTCCTAGAAAAGTTGCTTTTATTTTGCACAGCATGGCATCTGGACTGATTTTTTTTTTCTTTTTTTCTAGAAGATGAGAAATCCAGCTGAGACCCTTTTTGAGTTCTAAACTAATTTGTCAGATTGAAGATTTCTTGGTCAATTTACGAATTCCCCTAAAGGTACACCCTTTGCATATATATTTTTAACAAGCATGTCGACCTATAAAGCTAGCTGCTAGAAGAATTGTTTCATCATGGGGCAAATTTTTTAAATTATCCTTATTGAATTATTTCATCATGGGGGCAAATTTTTTGAATTATCCTTACTGTTTAATTAATTGATTGATTATATCTTTATTATTTAATTATTGTCCTGCATCATTTTTACCCTTTCTAACAATTGTCATCATCGTTAAGTACTAATAGAAAAAAACAAAATATTAAATTTATCCTTTTTTATTATTCAAATTTTCAAAATAAAATCTAAATTTCACAAAGATAATAAACATATCCTGCCCTTGGCTTTTGCATATGAGAGATTGGTGTAGTTGGTAGATGGAGACGACAGAGATGGAGGCGGAAACGTAAACCGGGACAAAGATGGAGATCTCGTTTCTACACCTCTCGTTGGAAACAACTTCCCTATGTGGCATTGGGCAATGAAAAATTCTCTCTATGCCCAAAACAAATTTGTATTTGTGGATGGATCGTTATCAAAGCCACCTGAATCGGTACCAGAGGAAAGTGCCTGGATAAAGTGCAACTCAATGGTGGTTGCTTGGATATTCAATGCCCTTTCAATGTCCTGTCAAAGGAATTATACGACAATGTTGGTATTCATGTAAGAAAAAAAATAAAGGGGAGCAAATCAATCCTTAGTCTTGCAGAATCATACTAATATCATTCATGTACGAAGAACAAGAAGACATGTTGCACTCCAAAGAATATCATGTTGCAGTTATCAAGGAGGTTTAAACGTGCATACCTGTATCCATCACAGTAGTAGAAACCTTTGCGGAATGAGTGATGAATCAATGGTAGGTCGACCGTGGTTTTCCTCAATTAAATCTTCCTTCTTCCTTAGGTTTTCTTAGCTCTTGACTCTAATGGGGTAGAGCAAGAGGGCGGCTAGATGATTTAACATATTGGGAACCATAACMTMRGAGCCTTTATATTTKGACCTAATAGGATCCCATTAAGCCTATATGGGCCAAAATGTGGTATCCACTCATTAAGCCCCATACCCTTTTGTTGAAGTCTACGGGCTTTGCTTAAATGAATCACTTGATTTAGCCCACTTACAAGATAGCCCATCAATGCAATTGTTTCACTGAATACGTAAGCCCATTTAACAGAGATTAAAACCTAACAATCTCTCACTTGGGCTACATATGAGAATTGAAACAATTATATTGAAAGAATTCCTTATGTGTACACTTCTTATGCTAATTTCTTTAGACTTCTCCTTAGCTTCAATCTGGTCCATCTCCTGTACTAATATGAGACCATGACGGCATTCGCCACATATATGCGTGACTAAACCTTTCATGCTCACCATATCAATGCATTCAATGACATAGATAAAGTATGGATGAGTGGCATGGAAATTACATGCAATGTGATCTCAAAACACGCCTATTTCCAACTGGTTCAATTTTATTCTTTAGAGAGATCAATCAAAGTCACAAACATATTCAGAGATGTAGATGATGGAAAGAGTCATAAACTTTATTATGTGTAAATATAGACATGCAAACATGCCTTAATCCATAGTACATCCAAGAGAAAAAGAAAAGAAAACTCCCACTAAATCAAGGTATCATAAAACATGCCTATACCCATACGAGCAGTGTGCTCATGAAACACCTTAGGTAGCAATCCCTTGGTCAACGGATCCGCTATCATGGAGTTTGTTCCTATATGCTCTATGCAAATCTGACCACTCTGAACTCTTTCCTTAACAGATAGAAGCTTGATATCAATATGTTTCGACTTCAGAGAACTTCTGTTGTTGTTGGAATATAGAACTGTAGATTTATTGTCACACAATAACTTTAATGGCCTTTCAATRCCATTAACCACTCGCAGCCCCGTGACAAAGTTACGCAGCCATATCCCATGATTGGATGCCTCAAAGCAAGCTGTGAACTCTGCTGCCATAGTTGAAGGGGCTATGAGCGTTGTTTGGCACTTTTCCAAGATAT